GGAGGCAGTGTGAGCAGCTGCAAAAGGAGAAGGATGAGCTGGAGAAGAAGAATAAGGAGATGCAGGAAACACTGGATGAGGTGGTACCAGCAGTGAAACAGCTTCAAGATGAGAAAGATTCACTGAGTACTAAGCTTGTTTTTGAAGAGAGAAAAAGAAAGATCTCTAAAAATGAGTGCAATGCTCAGGAGAAGGAGATAAAAAAGATGAAAGAAGCTAAGGTCGAGCTGAAGAAGAATATGGAGTTGCTAGTACATAATGCAATAGAGAAGCACATTGTAGAGTTCTTGAAGTCTGGTAAATTTGATGAGAAAGTGAACTTGTACTGGCTGCCCACTACAATCCTAGCCTTCACGGACTGTAGAAAGAAGGTGAAGTCGCAATATCCCAAAGTGGATGTCATGAGCATCACCTTTGGTGAACAAGAAAAAGGGGTGAAAGACAATGGCGAAAGCATGTCAGCTGACTTCCGACCGGAAGTTAAGCTGACATAAGATCACGACACACAAGGTTGTACAATTTTTCCTCTGTACTTTGACTTCAAATTCGTTGTAGTGGAAGAAGAGGTTGTAGAGGTAGAGGGTACAGAAGAGGAAGGGATCCAGCCACCTCATCCAGTGGAAGTGCATACAATTCTGTCAGAAGAGGACCAGCCAACTCATTCAAAAGTGGGATAGCCACCTCTTCGTGTTGAGGAAGAGCCACCTCAGCCACCTCTTCCTATTGAGGAACAGCCACCTCCTTCAGCAAAGTAGTTAGGGTGTCCATTTCTTTCTTATGTTAAAATTGGAACAATTTTTATTTTGAACATTTTGTAATATTTATTACTCAATTTTAAAGAAAATTTTTTAAAATTGTGTAATGCTTGTTTTGTACTTTATTTGTTTTATATCGAGATAAGAATTGAGATGATGTAAATCACTTCGAATGTAAAGTGAAATTCATTAATAAAAGTGAAGTCTTAAGGAATAAATTCCAAACGGATTGACCTCAAAGATACAAACTAAGAGATGAAATGGATCTCAGAATAAAGAAATAATAATCATAAAGAAGAATAAGACAAAGATCACTTGAAAGAAGTGTGTTAAGGGTAAAATTTCTTCAAGTTATTGATATTCTAGACTCTAGGAACTCTCTTCTCTTCAGTGTCTTGGAGGATATAGGCACCAGGATGTGGCACTTTGGCCACTGCGTAAGGGCCTTCCAATTCAGGGCTAGTTTTTCAAAACAAGTTTCAAACGCCGTTAGACTAGCTTTTAACCATGTGGTCATGGGTTCGATTCCCACAGACAACGCCAATGTAATTGCACCAAACCAGAAGTTCTTCTTCAGTCCGTGTCTTCACTTCGGATATGCCTGCAAGGCTCCAAAGTGGATCATCGAGGTAGACACTCCGATGCTTAAATTAGCAATAATCGGATCTACTTTTAGAATAATGGAAAAAGGAGCTTTATGTTGGTTTCAATTATCTTTTTGAGGTGGCCACTGAGGGGTATTTATAGGCCTTAGTGAAGTGTGCACATGGCTTGCTTAACAAGATAATCGAAGTCTAATGTGTTCCCTCAGGCAATAATTTCGGGATCAGGAAATCATGTGTGTGAAATTAGGTGTGGACATGTTCACTATGCTTGTCATGCAGCCATTTAACCGAAAAGGACTGGATTTAACTTCACATCGGTTATTAAAGAATTATAGCAATACGTCCAAGATTAAGAACTTCGAACTTATCCTTACATAACTAATATTATATTTAAAATAAATTTAAAATTTTATAATAAACTTATATTTTTAAAAATAGTAATAGCTATTAAATTTTAAGTTTATTATTTATACAGATTATTTTGAACTATTAAATAAGAAGACTTAGATAAAGAAAACAACTTAATATGAAAGGGTTCTATTGTTTTAATCTCTTATTCAACTATCACTATTTTACAATTTAACTGTAAAATAATTCTTCATAATTTTTACATAAAAATAAAAATTTTAAATCCAAAACTAAAATCACACTACACTATCCTGAATTAATTACAAACATTGCTACTAGTCCCATTAATCCATTTCATTTCACGCTCATCTCTCTCAGAAAAGGGGTTTTCTTTGACATTTTCTTTTCCTCTTGCATAGTGCACGTTCTGTTTCTGGCTTCCCGCCCCTGTTTTCGGATTGCATTAAACAAATTGAACAAATGAGAAAAAGGG